GTTCAAAATAATTATCCATATGATAAATATTAAAAAAAAAGTTAAAAGGAAGAACATGAGTGAGTTTTGAATGAAAAACCAAGTGAATAGCCCTCTATATTTATAGAGTCGGCCCCATAAACAAATGACCAAATACTCTTAAATTTTGGCCTTTTTACCTATTTAAATGATAGTTTGATCAAAATATACATCTATAGTGTCTTTATGATTTTTTTAGTAAAACATGTGGGGCCCAACAAACACTATAGATAGAGAAGGATGTGGTTGATAGTGTGATTTAAGGGTATGTCTCTAGTGTTTCTAATTTTTTTTTTGCTGTTAGGCCATGTGGGCACTGAGTAGCCCAAGCCAACCTCTTTTTTTAGAAAAGGGGTGGGGGCACTGAGTAGCTGGAATTAGGCCTTGTCCGAAGCAACAGAAGCTTTTTGGATCGCCTTAGAAAAGAAAAGAATAAACTGTAACATTTCACATATTTTTTGAGTTTCCTGGTAAGAAGCACAAAGGATATGTCTTTTCTTCCATCTCATTACTCCATAAGGACCATAACTAATCTCATTTTACTTTTCCTCCTGTCATCTTCTATAAAATCAAGAAGTTCTATTTGACATGACCATTTACTAATCATTATATTAACTTTCATTCATCTTATCTCCTATCAAATCAAGCTTTAAAGTAATAAATATATTTGACGTGACCATCCAGTAATCATTATATTAGCCGACTCCTCCGATATGCGTAGTCCAGTAAATATGAAGGACAAGATACGGATCAAAGTCCTTCAACCAGATGGAGTACGAATTTGTGCTTACAAATTGATTTGTCTTATATATAAGCACACAAGAATGGAAAATATATTATTATTAACATTAAAAACCAACCAAGTTCCTCTGCTGAAATTCCCACATACCGAACAATTGGGTTGGCCTTCAATTATCATCCCATATCTTTCCCATAGATGCATCCAACCGTGGCAGTTATACATGTTGACAAGGATTAGGCTGTTGTCACCTCAATATGAATTGTCTTATAGCTCTTAAGCTATCATCCAAAATTGAAGTCTCATTATCAAGCCAAATTGAGGAAGAAGTAATCACACTCACGTCAATGAATTTATATGCTCCTATCACTAGGGTCACAAAAGCTAAGAGACTATGCAAGCATGCTATATGAGTTCCATTAACAAAGAGCTAAAATGTTGAGTAGGGGGTGACTCATCGATGAGGTAAACTAGAACCTAACTTTTAACACACCTTATCAACTTAAATTGATAGCCTAGGTTGTGATCACAGGCGATAATGGTGTTGATTGAATTGATTTTTCGATGTTGATATAGTTTTCATCAATGTTAATAATACGCATAGCGTAATGCTCTACCTCTTGTTAAGGGTTAATTAGAAAAACACAAGAAACGTAACTCATAACGTAAATTACCTTATTTATTAATTATTTAGATATCTTATAAGTACAAACTATTCATACTTTAATAATTAGACTCGTCAAAATTTACAAATATGTGGATAGACCGGAAGAGTTAAAAGGAGTTAGGGTTTAGAAGTCTTTGTCTTTGTCTAGAGGAATTAGCTAGGGTTTAGAAACTAGAGAAGCGCTAGTGGTGGAGATAGGGTTAGGATTTTCTTCATTGGCAAGAGGAGATGGGGGAGCTGAGAAGGAACCAGAGGAAAGCCTTATCATCAATGAAGATAGAGGACGAGAGGAGATTTGTCGAGGAGAGCTTTGTTTTTGTCAAAGGTGCAAGGGGTAGTAGAGATCGAGAGATTTTTCTTCTTTGTCAAAGGCATGAGAGGAGGTGGAGAAGGCGAATGAAATGGGGGGGAGGTGCTGGGTCGGGTGATTGTTAGGATTTTCATGCGAATGAAATTGGGGTCGGGAGGTTCAATTGGTAACTTATTTGAGTTAGTGTGATACTAATTTAGACGGTGGAGATATTGTCACATGTCCAAACCCAACCATAATTTAACTTAGAGATATTATCATGCGTCCAAATCCATCATAATTTCACTCAATTTAACATGTGTTCAATAACACATAGTAACGCAAATAAAAACACGTTTTTCAGTATTTTCCTTTGCGTTAAATGCAACATGGATTTTCCGCCTAAGTTTTATAAAATTTGGCTTTGTTATTAAGGGGTTGTTTGGTTGGTTTCTTAAAAATCAAGAAAAGGAAAATGGTACATGGAAATCAATAAAATATTATTTTCATCCATTTTCATCCCTAAAACTCACCACAACATCCAATAAAATATTATTTTTATCCCACAACTCATCTCATATCATCTCCTAAAATATTATTTTTATCCCACAACTCATCTCATATCATCTCCTAAAAATAAACCAAACACAAGAAATGAGTCACATCATCCAACTATCATCTCCTAAAAATAAACCAAACACAAGAAATGAGTCACATCATCCAACTCATCTCATCTCATCTCCATCACATCTCAATTTTAAAAATCACTCACATCATCCAATAATATGGTGACAACTCATCTTATCTCATTAACATTTTATTTCCACCCATTTCCTCCAAAACAGCTAGGAAATCGATTTCCTTAAGTGTAGATCACATCATCCAATAATATAATGACAACTCATCTCATCTCATCTATTTTCTTATTTTTATGAATGAATGAAACACAAGAAAAGAACCTATTACAGGAAATATGTTTCTTATAATTTATTTCCTTATTTTTTTTAGCCAACCAAACAACCTCAAGACAAATTTTCTTAAAAAATCACCAACATCATTCAATAATAATGTGACAACTCATCTCCCATTCTTTGATTTCCTTTTTTTTAGCCAACCAAACAATCTCAAAATAATTTTTCTTAGAAATAGGTTTCCTATTCTATGGTTTCCCTCTTTTTTTAGGCAAACAAACAGCCCCTAGGAGTCGAGATTAGGTACAACGAGTTTCGAAAAGAGTTTTTTTTTCTACATTGGTTTTAATCTCATTTTAGAACTTGACTGAAATAAGCTATTGTTAGATTTTTTTTGGTCAAAACCGCTTTCCAAAATGAGTTTTCAAACTATATATATATATATATATATTATTAGTATTTTTCATATATGTTTAGTAGCATAGTAGAAAGTTAAAGTTTTGATGTTTCAAAAGGTCCTTTATTCGAGGCTTGCCAACAGCAAGCCGAGAAGTATTTTATTTTAATTAATCTCTCATAAGTTCTAGTAGGTCGTGGGCCGTGGTTCGTAGGCCGTGGACCAATAGGCCGAGATCGGGGCTAATCGGGCTGAGGCGCTAAGTAATGCTTTGTTAGGCGCACTTTGCACTTCGCGTGGCGCTCTTTGGCGTCATGTTGGCTGTCACGAAGGTTGCCTCGCAGCATGCAGACGAGCTACGCATTCACACGAGGGTGTGACCTTAGCGTTCTCGCAATCAGACGAGGTTCGTCAATTGCTTGACAAGATTCGCTCGTTCGACTAGGTTCGCTTGTTTGACGAGGTTTGCCCGTTCAACGAGGTTTGCCTGTTTGACGAGGTTCGCTCGTTCGACGAGATTTGTCTGTTCGACGAGGTTCGCCTATTTGACGATGTTTGCTCGTTCGACGAGGTTCGCCTATTTGACGAGGTTTGCTCGTTTGACTAGGTTTGCCTGTTTGACGAGGTTCGCCTGTTTGACGAGGTTCTCTCGTTTGAAGAGGTTTGCTTGTTTGAAGAGGTTCGCTCGTTCGACGAGGTTCGCCTGTTTGACGAGGTTCGCCTGTTCGACGAGGTTTGCCCGTTCGACGAGGTTTGTCATACAGACGATGTTCGTCCTACAGACGATGTTCGTCTTATTTGCTGAGACGTGACCCTCGCGTTTTGTAGTAATGCATTCATTGATTGCCTCGTATTCAGGAGTTACTATATGCAGCAGTTATAACAGTATTTACATCAATTTAATGGATTGTTGTTACAATCATAATTGTCATTATGATTTGTAACAACCACATCAATTGAGGGTGACTCTTGAGCTGGCCTTAGAGACCTATAAATAACGCCCTTTGGACAGCTCTTGGTGCGAACTTGAAATACAAACGTCGGATCGAGGATATCTTGATGTTGTTGCTATTGTGCTGCTGCTGCAGAAACTGTGCCCGCAGGAACTTGCCCTGAAACCGAAAGGTTTTGAACCGAAAGGTTCTGAGATCGAGGAGATCTTTGTCTTGACCGAAAGGTCTTATAGATCGAGGAGATCTTAACAGTACTAGGTTGGTGCACACCAGAGTACTGTACTGCTGTTCTTGGAAACAGTTTGGCATTGAGATCCTTGCACCGGAGTAGACCAAATATTGCTTTAAGCACAGCGTTTCACAAACGCACAGCAGTGAACTGAAAAAGTTTAAAATTTCACCACATCAAAATTTCTATGTTTCATTCCAGATTTAACCACAATTTCCAACAGTTATTTCATCAGGTTCACCTCTCATGAAGATATGCAAGGAATTTAATCTACATAACCTTACAAATGTAAATGTAAGATATAACAATTTACGAAGATGAAAAACATAATATCCTTGGCTGTGGTAAATGAGAAAGGATAGTCAATGTCAACATGGCCAAAAGAAGAAGAAAAAGCTTAGAAGTTCCTAAGTCCAAATTAGGCCCTTCTCTCATTGGCTCCATATTTGCCTACCTTCTTCAAGCCAAAAGAGCTCTCTACAAGTGATGCAATATTTCAGACACATAACATAATGGTTATCAATAACAATAATGTTATAGGCAAAAGGAAACATATATATAATATAAATGATTCATTATAGCTTCAATAAAACTCCAAACATTAAAGAGCCTCATCATCATATGCAAATTTGTCCTTAAAAGGGTTGTTTGGTTCTCTTTGAACAGTAGTCGAAAGCTCAAGCAAGATGTATATATTGGCATAAAGGAAAAGGATTAGCTCTATCCGAAACAATGTCTCCCCAAACATCGACGAAAAATATCAGAAATTGCAACTCAAGTCATAAAATTCAAAGGCAAGAAACTGAATTGTCTACCCATTTCATATACCGCATAGGTACTGAAATAGAAAACGTGAAGATTTATAAGTAGGTAAGCAGTCACTTTCAGATTTGAGTATTATCCTCAAGAACATTGGAGGCAACAGAAGCATGCTAAAGTTGTCAGCATGTATTTATGATGGTTTGATGCTGGCATTGCTCCTAACAATTTGGCGGCACTCAAACAATTGAAACAAGTGTAACATTTATTTGAAGGCCCCAGCTAACTCACATTAGAAATTTTTTGACAAGAACTGCAGATTACAAAATATCATAGTATTATCTGAACAAGATATTCAACCTTTTCAGTCAGCATGCCAATCTCGCTCAAGTCATTGTGTCATGCAGTAATAGGTACCTAAAGAAAACAGGAAACCAAAATGTTTATCGTACTATTACTATCTTCTCTGCACTAAATAATCATGGAAGCACAATCATAGCCAGCATTGACATGCATGAAAATTGATTATTGCTGAAAGTTCGATCATATCAATATGACCATAGCATGATAGTGATAGCATGATGGTGTGTACATTAGATTTCCTTTTGAATACAGAATTTAAGGGGGGAAGTATCTACAATTAAGACCTTTTATTCTTTCGACCCACTGTACTCCCTTTTTCAAACAGAAAGATATTCAACACCTAATTATCGAGCTTGTATCATTAATAATGACAATAGATAATAACAAGTCCCTCATTAAGCCTTTCAGAATACATTCCATAACAAGTTATAATAATTTCAGGATCTCGACATCAACAGGAATTTCGTCATGGAGAACTTGACATAAGAAGGAAAAATGGAAACAGAATGTTGTCCTTTAATAATACTCTAATCGTTATGCTAATAGGTTCTCTATCATCCAGTTTGCTCACCTAATGCCTGTACATAAACAATGATATACAATGACTGTAGCTCACAGGCAACCATCAAATGGTAGAATATTCAAAAGAATTGACATTTCCATTGCCTACCCTTTTCTATACAGCATTCAAATCCAGTAGAGAAAGGTCAGTATAAGTTTATAAGAAGTAGGTCAGTAGTCGTTTTCATAATTATCCTATGGTTAATAATAATTTCAATTGGTAATATTTTTTCTTTAAAAAAAATGATTGGTAATAGTTTATTGAGATCATACAATCTAGAATTCCCCTTTAACATTCTGTAGTTTTATCATAAGCTGCGTACATTAAGCTACAATTAGATACACGGTACACCAAGTAACTTGAGATAGATTGCATCCTAGTAGGGTTAATGTTTGAACTAGTTTCTTCATGTCAAGCACACCATATATGTGAAAGATTATGCTCCTAGCAAAGATGCATCTAATTACAGCTTGGATATCGATCTTGTATGCTAGGTCGTTGGCTTATTGATCCATGGATAGTGTATAAGTTGTCCTATATAGAAATTGAAAAAGTTTACACAGTGAGAAGAAAGAAAGAAATGCATCGATGACTAGTCTTGTAGATTTCTCATATATATTCTCTTTCAGTAAACATGAGTAGAAAATTATCTATTGACTTCTGTGTTCTTCTCAAAGGACTTCTTGAAAAATATATCAACGTGGCAATTTTGTGACCCACCTAAAATTCCATAAATTGAAACAAGGGTATAGGTAGCATAACATTAGTAGCAAGTCAGGTATTAATACAGAACAAGAAGCCCATAATATATGCTTTTTAAGGAGGGCCTATTGCAAAGAATATATAAAAACGCATTAAAATATACACTGTAGCTTAAGCTAGCTCAAACCTAAACAAGGAGAGCTATAGCCTAGACCAAGAGGCTCTTCATCCACTTCTGATCAAAACAATTAACTGTGGCAGAGGTCATAATCTTATTTTACATGGCTGAAAATATGATGATTTAGGTTATTGAATCATAACTCCTAAAGCTAGATTTTGTACTGTTAGGGGCTTTCACAATCCCCCTCATTGTCTTTAAATGCCGGCCTCGGGCTCCAAACTCGTCTCAAGGTTTGACATCTGATTTAATAGAAATTTCCTAGCTACCCACATAACGACCTTGTGACCAATCTTCTCTCATCTCCTACCCCCTCTCCTCTCACTCCTATAAATACCCCGCCAAGTGATAATTACCCAGTCATAAAATTCCTGGTAGTTCATTAAGTGTGTATGGATCCACGAGCGCAACCTCAGGTAAAGCGGGAGGTCCCTTGTGCTGGTTGCAGGATGCTACACCGAAAGTGCAGTTACGACTGCATGTTAGCACCATACTTCCCTGCCAACGAGACTGAGAAGTTTGCGGTGGTTCATAAGGTGTTCGGAGCCAGCAATGTGATCAAAATGCTTCAAGTGAGTTTTTCTCACCCATTGCAATTCTATATGATGGTTGAGCCTATGATATCAACATGTAGGAAAAGGTCATTTATATATAAAGAGCTAACTGAAAATTACATAGCATGAATTTACATACATACTGGTTAAAATTTCTAATATAGAAATCAACATCTATATGTCTTGAGCGTTTACTATTGAACAGTCAAACATCAAAAAGGAGAATTTAGCTTGCAAAGATCCAAGACCTTACCCTAGTTCCTCGACTCATATTCTTGCTAAAAACACATTTTTGCCCCCAAAACATGAAGCCAGCTTATGCTGTAATATGGGTAAATAGTCGGAGGATTTAAACTAAAGTGCGTATGCATGTGGCTTCATGACTACAAGCCATCATCACAGTAGTATACATGCAAAGAGCAGCGGAGCAAAAGAATGAATCTTAAATTTTACTATAGCATTCTAATATTCTATGCACAACAACAAAAAATTTAATAGTTTAAGGGTCTTACGCAGATGGTGGATGACGTGTGGAAGGAGGATGCAGTAAAAAGCATGGTCTATGAAGCTTATGCAAGAATCAGAAACCCCGTATATGGTTGCACATTTGCCATTTCCTACCTACAAAAGTGTGTGGAGGAACTAGAGGAGCAGCTCAAAACAACACAACAGCAAATTCTCAAGTCACAGGAAGAAATAGGACAGCTCTCATTTGCTCTGGATTCTGTCTATCTTCCAGTTAATAACATGTTCGATGAGAGAATATCCTCCGACAACACAACGATACATGACACTGCTTTTACAATCCCCATGGATTACTATTAGATAATATGAGAACCAATGACGGGATTATCTTTCTTAATGATGTAATAAGTGAAACGAGGTAGGAAGTCAGGTTTGAAGATATCCAAAGAAGAGAAATTTTCACTGTACCCGCCCCAACGTAACTGTAAGTCTCTATATGTTGGGCTCTCGATGTAGTACCCTTTTTTAATTACTTTTTTCCCTCTTGTTTTTGGGTCTCCAAGAGCCGTTGCATCTTTTTCCAGTGTCATTCCTCAATCTTACTCTCGTTTCAAGGATGAAAGATATGCATAACAAAAAGTAAACTAACCATAATGATGCACCCACCCTGATGAACATCTAGTCACTAAAAGAACTAAACAACTGAATATGAGATACACGATAAAACTTATATCGGCCTCCATGGTGTAAGAATCTAGATTGCCTTTTTAAATTGACATGACAAGTTCAAAACTTAAAAACAGTTACCAGGGGAGCTTTGTCTTGTTATATGATTCGCGATAACTAAACTTCGTGGTTTTTTGAAAAGTAATTTTAAAAAGTCTGACTAAACTGACTTAAACAGCCAAATAATAACTTAAAAGGAGATCAAGGAAGAACTTTATGCTTCCATATTATTTATCAGAGTCGCCAGAGGAGCCTCCAAGAAGAAAATGACATGAACTGATAAGCTTACATGAGAACCAATGGTATTAGAGGAACTTAATAGTAGTAGCACTAGCATCCACATGCACTTTGCCTTAACCATCACCCAAATATTCAGTGTGAACTATGAGTTTTGATAACCTCCGACTTCAGCCTAATGTCTATCTCAACATTCAGAAGTGACACATGCAACTACAAAACATTGTCCCTTCTATCATCATGGTCTCAAATTTCACAACAGCACACAGCTGTAAGTTGCAATCGCTTGTGAGGGCACGATAAATGGATATGCAAGTTTTAGTCAAATAGCTTCACTTTTGCTATAGAGAATGTTGTTATTTTAGACTGACTCACTATAACAGCTAACATATGTTATCTGTGTACTTCTAAAGTTCTAATCTGAAGCCATACCCATAACGTACCCAAACTCCTTGGGCACTCCGTGCACATAAGCTACATTTATTTGGGCATGTACTCAATTATACAATACATGTTTTAATTTAAAACACTTGTCATACATTTTTGGGACCTATATCCTGCACATCCACTTCTTGAAATTAGTTGGACATAGGTTAACTTCCGAATTATAATTTGAAGGATTGTTCGGATCTCTAGTTCAATAACTAGTGATTTACCAATTTATAATCCACATAATAATTAAAAAAACTCAAAATTTTTATAGGAATTTTAATTATCATATTTATTCTCATATAAATTATTAATTCCAATATGTAATATATGTATATATAAATATTTATATAGCTGTGTCCCCGTACCTTACCTCTTATAAATTTGTCGTGTCCCGCACGCGTACCCGTACCGTTAACCACACATGTGCCCGTACCCACGCAACATAGCATCTAACTTTTCTCAATTAAGTAATAGCTTGGAGGCCACCGATAAGGATGAAACTTCTTTATAGCTCTGTACCTGTGCTTGAACTTTGTCATACATTGACACTCCATGGATATGCTATAGCCACCGTGGTCCCTGTCAGATACACAGGTGTCCAAATAAAACTGACTTTTCTAGGCTTAAAGAAGACCTTACAATCCATAGCTACTCAATAGGGCCAAACTCAATGTTTCTTCTATCGATGAGAATGACCCCTCATTGCCCATGAAAACAAATTAATTTGACCTTAACTTGTTGAGGTAACTGATTGGATTCGTTCAAATCAAAGTTCTTGTTAGGCTGTTAGCCATTACTTGCTGTCACACACATGCATTCAGCATTCCCGTGTCCTCAAGTCCTTTTTTTTCTTTCAATTTCTGTGTTTCTATATCCATGTTTGTGCCGTGTCCTGTATAAATGTCTCTATCCACTCTACAGTCTACGTAAGAGACCATCTTACAAGAATATGGAGAGGTAGCTCGGATTAGATTTCAATCTAATAGATGGAATTAGATTATAGTTGAAGGTAGAGTCGATTCTTTTATCAATATGGTTACTGAAAGACTTTTTTCTAAGTTTCATTCTAAAACACAGGCACCAGAAAAAAGCCTTATCATCCAACTTCTATTTAGGTTTTCTGAATAAGTCTAAGACCTACACCAGCCTGCATGAATAACGAAAGGTCGAAGTCCAACATTAGTGCCTGGGAAATCTTTCACAATCCATTTCGCGATGATTCATAGAGAGAATTGAACTCAAAATATCAAGGACATACATAGGTTTGGAATGTTTAAAAATCAAATGTGCTGTATTTAGAGAAAATTGAACTCAAATATCAAGGTCATTCATAGATTTGGAATGTTTAAAGGGCATGTGCTATTTTAAGAAACCTTGCATGATAAAAAGGGAAACATTGGTTTGTTGGATTTAAAACACGTTATGCTAACAGATGAGAACATGAAAATATGTAACTAGCCAGAATAATGAATGACCCCTATTGTTGATACTTATTCGACAAAAGAAGACCAAGGTTGATATTCAGCATAATATTAGTAGTAGCAGTTTTATTTAGTGGCATCAAATGATATACCTTCTGTACGCAGATTCAGAGCCCCCTAGTCCCTACTACCGTTGTTGCAGTCTTGGGTTGCAAACTTTCTACGTACAAAGACCGAAATGTAAATTGCAGGTAGCTTTCGTTCTCGGGAATACGTAAGGACGAAATCTTTTTAAGTTCTGCATTAACTGTGACTCCTAAGCCTAAATCTCTTTTTAGGTTCTATCTGAGTGAGAAAATCAAAGATAAGAGTCCTAGAATAAGTACAAAATAGGGGGCTTTTGGGGGATATGCGAATTGATCCAAAGATCCTCCTTTCTTTGGAGCACCATGTATGCAATGGATCCGGTCCATTGGAAAGTCTTCTCCACCTAGCCCTGTCTATGATATCAACTAGCTAAAACATTGCTCTAAGCTTTCGACTAGATAGATTTCTTTTTGTTTCTTTTACTATCCGTAATGTTGATCAGAACAGTGGAACAAGAGCATTGACCTCACTGTCTAACTTTCTAGTTCCAGAGGATGGAGGGATCATATGAGGACATTAGTAACACAAAGTATTTGATGACTCGTTGATCCACAGACCTCATGATAGTAGGAAGAACAATAAATAATTTATGGAGCTCGTTAGCTCACTGCCATGTAAGCTCCACCCCGATGTGACTAGCATGGGGGCTCACATGGCATTGAGCTTGCAGCCCATTTTGCAAAATGGACTGTCAGCTCATAGACATAAGAGACTCAAAGAGTTGAATTATTCATATATTAGATGAGGGTATCCAAGGAAAAAGAGATTACTCAGCTTTCTGCTAAACTACGATTTAATAAAAAAAATACGAGAGCTAAGGGAACTTGATGCTTGGAGCCACTATACAATGGAATTGTGTTCATTCGATATACAAGACAGATTAATTTGACTTGGTGGAGGGTTGTAAGATCTTTTTGCTCATTGCAACAACAACCTTTTTGCATAGCATTATTCAAACATGTCAAAGTTCAATTTTTAGTCTTTCAGTGCACCATGCATGGATATTCGAAGACACATCAAGATACTAGGTGCTTAACATGTATACACGTTTGCCAATTTGTTTTCACATCTAAATCTAAATATTGGAATGTACTCATGTTCAGGTTGAAGGTTTTGTGTCATAGGAGACATCAAGATACTAGGTGCTTAACATGTCTCATGTGTTAATAAAGCACTGTGTGGCATGGTAAGGTAGAATGGGTATGTCATCATGTGAAGGAAAATAAATTGAAGATACATCAACAATAATGTACATTTGGTTGCTAACACTATATTACATTACTTAATATCTGATTCTTATACAACAAATAGCAGGATCTCATAGCAAAAACATAAAACTGACCTGCACCTAAAGAGTCTAGTAACTGTGACATGCTACTGTCCAGCTGAGCTCCCGCAGGAACTCCCAAGCAATGGAGCAACATCATGGACTGATAACCTGATAATATGAAGACCTGACAACCTTGAAATTTCAATGCACTCTTTCAAGTCTGCATCACAAGATAGCATAACCCACTCTTGATCTTCATCCAAATACCTGATATCAAATGTCCCAACTTCTAACTTCAGCCTTTTTGCCACTTCTTCACTCAATTCCATCATACCCGCGCTCCCTGGCAACCGAAACCTCACAATATCTTCTCTGTAACTTGCTTTTATAGTCACTGTCCTCAAACCTTGAACCTCAGTAGGATGAGATGGTTCATGATTAGTATACAACACAGAATTTTCATAATGGCATCCCTCTACTATGCTACTGAATAGATTTTTTAAATCTTTAGAGCTTCCTGAATCTTCAATGAGAACTCTACCAAGCATTGGCTGTGGCTCTTCTATACTGGCATCTGGCATCGGGTTACTGAATCCCAAGAAACCATTCACATTGAAGCCATTGTTTAAGTTGGGGGAATCAGTGACATTCACTTCCTCACATGATTCTTGAGAAGTAGCGGCCTCCGAGCTCCCTTCTCCTGAAGAGATTGTTTTAGAAGAGTCTTTATCAGGCTCCACATTAGAATCAGCATGGGCTCGAATAGTTTCTTGCTGGGCTTTTTTATTATTGGATTGGTCATCACTCTGTAGTGATTTATGTGGTAAAGAGTCTTTATCTAACTCAGCATGCTGAAGACTCAGAGGTTCACCATCTCCACCATGTCTACAACCATCCAAACTGACAGCAAGTGGAAGCTGACATGAAAGAGATGGCAGGTTAAAAGCTCCTTCAGCACCCTGCACAGACTCGATCACTCTTTTCAACTTTGAGAGAGAGCGATTGACCTTATTGATCTTTCTTGACGGCCATCGCGATATCCCATGTTGCCTACAGATACGCTTCATGGTTGTCGGACAAACTGAAAAGACATAGAACTTTAATTTTCAGACGATTTCCACTTCATGACATGTAGAATAATGTAGATATGAAGGATTATAGCTTACCGCCAAGGGCTTTTGCAGCATCTTTTAGGCTTCCTGAAAAATACCTATGAAGAACTTCCAAACTGATTGTTTTCTCAGCTTTCCCTCGCTTCCTTTCAGGTTTTTTTGCACTCAAGTTGACTAATGAAGGTGCAGATTCTGTGTAATTCCTTTCAGTATTGACTGCTTTTGCCCTATTAGGAACCAAGTTTTCTACTTGGGCAGGGTTATCCTTAGGAGAATTTGCATTGACATGAGTGCTACAGCTTTGACCAAGGGCGAGGCCTGGTTCGTGTTCACGGTTCCCAGTTTCAGAAACATCAAAAAAGCCTGGAGATTTCCCTTCTTGGATATCTTCATTGACTGATATCCTTAAGTTTCGGAAGCATTGCTTCATCAAGTTTAAAATAGAGTCCAGCAGAACCTTCTGTTGAACAGGGTCCCTACAGCCAGGTGGCAAGAAAAACTCGAGAATGTAGTCATCATTGCCAGTGTGAACGCTCTGAAGGCATACCGCAAGGCTTCCAGCAAGATTAAATAGCCGAGCATAATGTACAAGTGGATATTCAGTCTTGGAGAATTGAGTAATATCTCTAGAAAAGCATGAGCTTCGGGATTCAAAGGCCCTGCCAGCTACCCCTTGTCCCTTCTGAAGGTGGTGTTCAACACAAGCATCCCTGAAACCCCACATTTGAGGGTCAATAACATAAACTGCCACATCACTCGTTGACATGCACACTTGTCCCATGCAACTCCCATCAAAGCTTGAGCAGCTTTTTTGTGAGCCACCGCCATAAGTGAGAACATTGCGATGCCTACATGGAACCCAAGTCTGAGCTATAGGCAGCTTGTGTTCCTCGCAGATTGTAGTTAGGATCTCCAATATTTCAGCAAAAGCATTTTGACGACCTTCATTACATATCTAAATTAGAAAAACTATCAATACATTATCATGAAGAGTAAAACAAATACATCATAATACTTGAAAGTAATTATGATGCACCTGAACACTTGGAATGTCTGAAATATCATAACTTTTAAGATTTACTGCCTGCAATTCAAAGGAATCAAGGTTACCACACTAAATGTATATATAGACTGTGGAAAGAATAAAGATGAAACAAGAAAGTGCATATAATAATTTGAGAAAAAGATGCCCTGAACCTGATACTCAGTTGTCTACTTATTATATATGTTTGTAATGATTTACCAATATCAAGTGGTCGGCCAAACCTTTTATAGAAATGCCAAAATGAACTGTTACGGTCAGATCTCATTTTAGGAAACCCCTTAGTGTAGCTTAAATGGAGAACAGAAATGAAATTTATGCAGACAAAATATAATGTCATCAGAATTCCACTTCAGTAGATACGTACATAAAATTTGTGACCTTAATTACCTTAATGCTTGCTCAAATGGAGCAATGCTAGAGACATTTTCAATTTGTTGAACTCGTAAGATCCTCTATTCATAACCTTTGTGCCCAGAGTAATAGCCTCCTTATAAGGACAAACAGAGTAGCAGTGCATACATATTTAACATAGTGCACAATCAGGTCATAACCGTAGCGAACTGAAGAAAAAAAAACCCTAAGAACAACTACCAAGTCACATGATTGCTTTTTCAAGTCTATAAAAGCTGCAAAATAAGATTCTTGTTATGTTAAGGACAACATAAGTAACTCAAGTTTGCGTATTTGTCCACTAGGGTCTGCACATTACAATAGACCATGGCCTTGAAGACGCACCAGATTTTCACTGCTTTTCTTACATGTTATGTTGCATGGAAATGGGCATCGGACACAGAAAATTTGCAAAAGGTAAGATATAGGGACGCACGCACATACATACATGCATGCATGCATACATACATATTAAAATTAATAATTTACATGGGACCAATATTGTTGTTCATTCACGTGTTATAAGTATTAAAATTCCTATAATATTTTAGTGTTTATTTTATTCCGCTTATTTTGTAACTAGACACCCACATGACCCTATAAAATCATAGTTTAGATTCCTACCTATGTCCAGGAGTTTTCGTAAATGGATGTGAAGTGTAGGATATACATTCAAGAAGTGTATGACAAGTGTTTTAAATTAAAACATGTTTTGGGCTAAATTACCATATTGGTATAGACTGTATAGTATTTCCACCCACTTTACCAAACAAAGTTATTAAAAAAGTTCCGACGACATTAAGATATTTATTTCAAGCCCCTTTACCAATAAGCCCTTTCTCGCTGGCGGCGAGAATTCCAGCGGGTGATGTAATTTCATGCTGGGAAAATTTTTACAACCCCTTAAAATCTCAAAATTATTGAATCTACGCCCAAATATGACATAATGTAGCGAGAGATAGGTGGCTTTTGTGAAATTGATCCTCTATTATCCACTCCTCGTCCCTCCTTCCCAACCCATCATTGGCAATGTCCCCTGCCATTCTCACCCTCTCCTCCCCAATTCCCTCTTTCTTCTCTCTCCTCAATTCCCCCTTCAAAGGTTGCACCTTAAACCCTTCAAACTCACCCAAATCCCAAGCCCTTTAACCGCACCAATTTTACGGTCTTCAATGTGTTTGAGGGGTTGAGGTGGAGCCTTCGAAGGGAGATGGAATGAGGAGCACTGATGATGATAAGTAAGGAACAAGGAGGGAGGAGATGAAAAGTGAACGATGGAGAGGTCAATTTCACATAAACTACATATCTCTTGCTAAATTATGACGTGTTGGATGTAGATTTAGTGACTTTAAGATGTTAGGGGGCTGGAAAAAATTTATCAACAAAAAATTACATCACCCACTGGAATTTTCACCATTGACGAGAAAAATAATCTTATTGGCCAAGGGGGTCGAAATAAAATATCTTAATGTTGCCGGAGCTTTTTTTAAAAAAACCTTAATGGTAAATGGGGTTGAAATAAAATACCAATTTGGTAATTTAGCAACATGATTTGCATAATTGAGTACATCCTTGAATAAATATGTGAATATATGCTAGGAGAGTCCAAGGAGTTTGGGTATGGATATGGGTACCAATACAGGTACGGATATGGCTTCAAATAGAAGTACTCAGATAACATAGCGTACATGTGTTAATATCATATCAATTCCAGGAATTCAACAGGATGGACCATCAATTAGCTATATTTACCTATATCGTTCTATATATCTGTTCAAACAAATTTCTGTGCGAAACTGACATGCCAGTGCTTAAGACGTGTTCTCATACACCTCAAATTAAAGAAATAACAAAATATAATATTATTGCATACCATGTGATACAAAAAAATATATAAAATAAAAAATAAAAAAATAAACCGAAAGAAAGAAAATAACAGATTTTTTTAAGGAAATATTGCGAACCTCAAGAGCTTTGCAGACTTTATCAACCTCAGGAGCATAGTTGATCTTTCGTGACGTCATTATAAGTTCAACCACCCCAACACAAGAGTGCCCAGATGGTTCAAAAACTGGCAACGCTAAGGTTCCACGAACATCAAAATTGCGAGCATGAACAAGACGAGGATATTCCTTACTACTATAAAATTGTACATCAGGTGTCCACTCTGGCATTTTCCCTCTAAAGACCCGACCAGGAAGTCCCAAATCTCCATCACCATCCCCATCAGCTGAAAAAACATATGTCATAGACACCGTACGATACTGGTGAAGTCCTAGGCTATGAGGGTCCAGGACAAATGGCTGACCAGAAGTTGTGAGAACATATTTATTGCCATTCTTAACAGGTGCCCAAACTTGAACTAATATTTGTTGGCCGGCTGATTCCTTTAAGTATCGAAGTGCTTGGGTCATCCTCTTCCTAATAAAACAATAATCATCAGAATCGTCCTCACACATTTCTGGTTGAGGTTTCCTTTTCTTAACATCCTCTTGAGTGATATTTCCATTGGCTACGTCAGAATCTGGACATAAAAGAAGTGAGGTAGCTTTCTTGTTAACAAAGAAAGTTACAATTATTCATGAAGAGATTGTGGCACAAGAAGGAAGTATAAATATTTGACAATCCAACTAGGAAATTTGATATAATATCCAATAGTGATATGGAGACATCCAATATTTCATTGTCAAATATTGAATTAGCTAGTACTTTCTGGACCAAAACATAAGAAAAATGCATACTTAATGAACAGTTACACAGAGTCAAAAGGACAGCAGAAATTTAGCCAAAACACAATAGCATAAGATTGTACCATTTGATGATACAATGATTCTGAATTTACATAAACACGACATGTTAAGATCAACTACGATCCTTCCAATCTTACTTCAGCAGCACTTCCTTACTAGATTTACAGATTCCCACCTAGACTTGTCTCCAGTTATTACTAAGAGATACCATCCATGTACTTCCTATTTCCACTATTGCTAAGAATTACCATCTAAAGTACTTTCAATTTCCACTTGTAGAGCCTCCACATCTTCAAGAATCCAAAATCAATTAAACATCTTAGGGATGCTTACAGATGCAGAATTAAGAACCTAGTTATTAGAGTGAAACTTCTGCAAGGTAGCAAAGTTGGCTGGGTGCAGATACTTTAGAGGGACAGGTTTCGTCTCTTCAGATAAAGTCAATTCTCCATCAAGTAAGATATGACAAAGATGAATTTTGGATAATGGGTGGTTATCCAGTAATGTTCAGAAGAAATAGGAAATAGAGACTAGCAAGCTCATATAGGTAAATAGGTTAGAAAATTGCTGAATCTAGTTGGTAAGAATTCTTTCACACATTATTCTATGTTCATCAGTCCCGAGACCTAAAGTTGGCATAATTACATCAAGAGGCTTGATGGAAAGTAAGAGTTATAAGAAAATGCAAGGCAATTTGACTGTTTGGTTGGCAGAAAATGGAGTAGGAAATGCAGGAATTGTTGTAGCAGCTATATTTCCATCATTTTGTTTGCTTCAAAAATGCAGCATTTGCTGCTGTTGGCTGTAAAAGCTACAAAAGGACTGCAGAAATCGGTGCGGAAGACTTGAGTACAGCAATTTGCGGCACATTTTGGAAATACAAAAATATAAAATTAATTCATGTTATGTTAACAATATAAGATAAACTGTTTTAGCCGAAAGGGATACTTTTTTTGGGACTTCTCTTCAAAATCCTTTCTAAGCTAACAAATGACACATTAATGATTAGTTATTAATCAATTTCTTACAATAAATGCTGCATGTAGCAAACCAAACAAAAATTGGGATGTTTTTTTCTTGCAACAAATGTTGCAGGCAGTTGTGTATCATATATTCACATGAGCCTGAGACAGAGAACATGCTCTTATAAAGTGCTCATGTTTGAATGTTGGAAACTAAGAAGACTGAAGTTGGGTATCGAGTACGGATGACATTCTAGCAGAATAATTTTAGCCCATTCATGTGTAACAAGCTTGGGTCCAGGAACCAAGACATAAAGCCACATTCGATTCTATAAATTGGGAGTGTACGGACAGCTTGCATTAATCTTGTTAAACATTATAATCTCCCTATTTTCTTCACATCTACTTGCTTGGAATCAATTAAGATTTAAGAAGGAAGTGATAATAGTTAAATTAGCGGAGGAGACGATCATTCATAGAATTGAATGGGAGAATATGATTCATGTCGCTGACCACAAAATTTTGGGATAAAGGTTTTGTTGTTGTTGTTGTTGTTGTTGTTGCTGCTGCTGCTGCTGTATTTTACTGACATCCGCCACCCTCTAGTACTTAATATTCCAACCTTTAGGTTGTAAATACTTCCCATTAACCAAAGTTCTTACATTTCAAAATCAAGTTTCAAAACTACAAAGCTTCTAATTTCTCCCTAGCAAACTGTAATGTTCAGTTCTAACCATTGCACCGTCAGTCTCTAATAAGCTACTTTTTCCTCCTATGTCTTGAAAACTAAATACGAAGCATTTCAAGCTTTTAGTTGTTCTCTTTTAACGAAAATAAAAAAGACCATAGACTGATCTTAGAACCTGGGACCTCCCATATCCTACTTTATTTTACCATTGAGCCATTTAATATGACCAGTTTTAAGGTATACACGCGAAAAGTACTTCACTGGATTTGGAATTAAAATTATCCATTAACCATTCAATACTAAGCACATAATAATTTTCTTGTAAGAGTTGAGCTAAGCTACTATCGATAGTATCAAGAAACGTGGATACTATCAATCCTAATCTAAAATATGAATTTCCAATACACAAGACTACCAAACACCAAACTTCTCAATGATTTTGATATCCCTCATTTATTAAGGGATGAAATTAATCCCACATCTAACAGTAAAGATTTTAGTTTTCAAATCCAAATTTTAAATTAAGATCTATAGTATCCAAAATTAGCATAATACTAACGGTAACCTAACTCAAAAAGAGAAAAAGAGAAAAAAAAAATCTAATCTTTCTCAGAAGTCAAACTTCAAGAAACCAACAATATCAGAATCCAAAATCTCACCATTAGCTCCTCGAGCAGCGAAAGCGCTCCAAAAGTCAGCAACGGGGCTCCCTCCATCATCAAACCACCACACCGGCGACGGCGGCCGAGGCGGCGACGGCGACGGCAACGGCCACGACGCGAGATCCAACTCCGCGTCAAAATCCATCAGCTCCCTCGCGCCGTTGGATTGAATCTGGGGATGAGGCTGAGCTCCTCTCTCCGCCATTAGAAGCAGAAGGAAGCATTCGGATGGAATCTTGGTTGGTTGTGCACTTGAACAAGTTGGGGAACTAAAATATTAATTAAATTTCGGGAATGGGCTATTTAAGAATATTTTGGGGGATAAAATAGACGAACGAGGTGGTGGACACGTCATCTGTAGAGAGTCCGGCCGTTGGATTGAGGGGGAACCGACGGCGGATGTTGAAAGTGAGGTAAGGCCGTAGTTGGAGGGAAAGATTGAGGAGGGGCTGTGTGGGGTCCACTGCCAGGGGATTTTTGGATAGAGGTTTGCGGTAGGGACGAAGAGGAGGACGATGCGATAGGGGTTACACGCCAGTATTTTTAACTTTTTTTTTTTTCTGTTCTGTTCTGTTCTGTTTTGTTTTGTTTTGCTTGGGGGAAAATAAAATTTTACGAGACAGGAAATTCCTGTGAGGTCCTTTGAATGTGTGTTTTTGAAAATAATTTGATATATGGTTTTATCACATAAAATGTAGTTGTGAGATTCTTGTTATGTGTTTATTGGAAATGATTTGGCATACGCCTTATCATGTAATTTAAAAGCTCGATGAATATAAGATAAAGTAGATTATCGCAGGTTTTCGCTCCATCAAGAAAGCAACTAGTTTAGCTAAAAGTCTTCTCATGTGTTTGATTTTTGTCCTATTCCATTTTTTATCTTTCGTTGTGCATATCTTGCGATTTGCGTGGTTTGACCCATTACTAAACTAAATCCTCCCAAAAGCTCTTGGGTAGTATGTTGAGGTAGTTAATGTTTACTTCGATTGTGAATATTTAGTAGGTTTTTCTATATATGTCATATTTAAAATTTTCTTATATTTATATATCCTACTTAAATCTTTAGGGTTATAATCATTTGAAGTTTTGTCTCAAACCTCCCTCTAGGAAATAGAAATTTTAAGATGGATAAAAATCATGTACAATAGTATTTATTTCTAACTTCTAAATCATATTATATATATAATTAATATATAACTATAGTTTACCTATATCAACACAATATACCAATGTAAAATAATATCGAGCATGATCCAATGTAACCATAACCAAAAGAGGTGGTCTTGATTCATAGAATCCAAGATTTGGGAGATAAAGCTTGAGATGGTAGCTTAGAAATTCCCCAAGGTGAGCTGCTAGTACCGAGTACTCCAACGGGTGTGAAGCGACGACATGAATCTGATTCCAATGGCTAAAGATATATAGTTTTGATTATGAAATCTCATTGGTCAATCATGTGTGACCATTAATAATATATCCTTTCTAGACCTCAATAGATCGTTTAAGTTAATCTCCTTTTATGTTGACTTATATATTCTAATACTAAGACAAATTAAATTGTAGTGAGATGGTGAGTCGGCCGACTCGCCTCGTGATTTGGATCCAAGAGGAAAGGGCCTCCTGACCCGGATCACGCTGAACGTCGTAGACGAAATGTGTTCTCTATTCAGATCAAAACACATGATGTATCGAATCGAATAGTGGAATGACATGACAAGCATCATTAAAGGTCATGATTGCATAGTCTGCGCCCGCATTTCGCCGCCTAATCGCAATCAAGCAATTAATTCGACGTCGGTCATTATAATCTTTCAGTGTTTAAAGCTCCTCGGACATGTCTTTACACCAACAGTCTCACCAATGTGCAAAAGGCAACTTAGCTAATTAGCCATCGGCATGCGTAAAATAGGGCTTGAACAAATATTGCACACATTCGGTTGAAATTACCTATGTGCCCCCGTAAATCCTCTACAAATAATGACGGTTTCCACTAAATCAATGTATGCAATTTTGCACATAAAAACTCAATAAGATTATACTTTGTTTTTCTTTTCAGATTAACTAGATACAGTCACTGACTTGAGTGTCGGAGGGCATGCAGGAGGGAACAATCTCGGTGCCTCTAACCTCTGTTATTTGTGTAGCGATGAACAGCACAAAGATCCAACACGGAAAATAAACCATCAAAAACGATTAAGGGACCTAAAAATTGAGCTTAACCCTCCTAAATCACACACCAATTTCGCGATGTAAACAGCAACCTAAGAAATTGTCACCTGCAGTTTTTTTTCCCTTCCAAACATGACCTGTTTTTATAAATTAAAATTGGCATTGATTGTGAAGTTTCATTAGCGACTAATCAGATAATAGTTGATGTCAAAGTTTAAATATATAATTACGTTAATCTCTCCCTCATCAATGACTTATATAGGACATGTATTATTATTTAGTGCTAAAATTATAGCTAAATAAATTTGAATCCTGATAATTTACTGATATTAGGAAGTTCTATTGGAAGATCAGAAATTTTGAAATGTCAATAAATAAATTAATTAATTAAACATAACTTAATGATAATTTAAAGTTGAGCTGTAGAATTTTTCCACCGTGAGTGAACTCTTTTGATTAAAAACCAAGTTTGATAATGAAGCTTCACTAGTCAACTATGACAAACTATCATTAGCAGCAGAAATTTTAAATAGATTGCTATCTAAATTAAAGCATGTTAGTACTTGTTTATGTTGGTTTCGGGTGTATACCCAAACCTTAGAACAAGCATGCAAAACAAAGATTTCTCTAAGTTAAGAAATCAGGCTAACTTGATAGTTCAGGCGAACTTGGAAGTTCAGGCGAACTTGAAAGTTCAGGCGAACTTGAAAGTTCAGGCGAAACTCAAAGCTGAGTTCAGGCAAACCTGCAGTTCAGGCGAGCTTTGGAAGATCAGACGAACTTGGAAGATCAGGCAAGCTTTGGAGCTTCAGGCGAACTCCAAGTGCAGGCGAGCTTCAAGTGCAGGCAAAGCAGTTCAGGCGCGCTTCGCAGTCAGGCGAACTCGCAGAAAACAGATTCCTAATCTGTTTTGACCTAGGGTTTCCCTATAAATAGGGAACATTGGCCGCTACTTAAATGATATTTTTCAGAGCGATCTCCAGAGCGTTTTTTGGCGGCGATTTTTGCAGCGCTTGAGCGGCGATTTTTCAGAGAAAAATCTCGCGCCTTGAGAAATAAAACGAGAGTTCTTTTTTGAGTGATCTCAAGGAGTTTGAGATCATCTCTTGCAAGCTTTGTAATCTTCTTTAATATTCAAAGGAAATTTTTTGTGTGGCTCCCGAGGACGTAGGCAAGTTGCCGAACCTCGTTAAAATTTTGGTGCTCTCTACTATTTTTTCTTTACAAAGTATTTTTTATTTGCTATGATTTTTTTCTTGTCTTCTTTCAACAAAAGATCCGGAGGGCACGTTCTGTGAGAGGGTTCATTTGCATGGTTATCGATAGGACGAATCACCAACAGTTTATGCAAAGAAAACATGGGATCGAAGAACCTTGAAGATCAAAATCAAAAGTTTGGACCACCAATCTTCTCTCTGGTGAATCAACGACGAACTCTTTCGATTGCCTGAAGACAAGAAAGAAAAAAAAAGCACCATTAAATAACGAAGGATGTTGTACTCCACCATCCCTCCAATAGCTAAGTTAGCCTCTTGATGAAGAAGGTGAAACTTAAAGAAAATAGCGTGGTGATATGCATACAATATCTAGATTTGACATTTAGGTTAATCACATCACTTCATGATAGAATGTTGACTTGGACAATCAGATAGTACTTCAACTCATTAAGTATAGGGCATTCACACTCAGCCCATAACTCAGTCATGGCCCATAGACCTGATCTAAAAGCTCGGATACGAAGATAGAGATCCATCGTAATCAGGTTCAATAGGTCGGTTATCATGCATTATCTTAACCCGTCAGTTTCTACGACGATATGTCTGATTAGAGATAATTGATTCGAATCATATCGCATCCTCAATATACCATGTTAGGAGGTATCAATCAAATACTCAATCTCCCTAATTACCGACTTACATAGCTATCTAATATATGCATATGTCGACTGTACCGTCTGTAGGCATCGAAAATTGCCTATAGGTCTCCACGAACAGCTCAGTGTTAAGAAATAACGATGAACGTCATCATCTGGTTCACAGAAGCTTGATTGATGTTGGTGAACGCTTGAAGTAAACCGACAAACTACGTGAAACAACGGAACTTCGGAATGATGAAGATACGAACTGATCGGGGACCTCGTATCATTCACAAACGGTGAAATACCATTTATGTCTCATTTGTTCAATTGATGATATAATCATTGGAGCTTATAGAATTCTTCGTCAGCTTTCCAACGCACTTGGAATCACTCAAATCCGAGTTCGGACGAAGAATTTACGGTGGAAACAATCAAACAGGCATAACGGAGCGTCTCAGGCTGAACTGGGACACCCGAGGTGTCTCGGCACGGGCGAGACACCCTAGGGTGTCTCGGCCCAGTTTGAGACACCCTGGGGTGTCTCCAACGCAGAAAAGGCCCGTTATGCGGTTTTAACCGCCCGAAACCTCCTGGAGCCTATAAATACAGCCCCGGGGCCTCACTTTTTTTAGATCTGGAATTCTCGTGCCTCGGCGAAGCCCTGCCGGATTGAAGACTTAAAGTACACAGATTTCAGAGAGGAGGAGGAGTTAGATCTGCAGCCCGATTCGTTCCTTAGGATTATCCCGTTGCGGTAATCTTAAGAAGAGTGATTATCTCGCTTCGCCGAGATAAGAGCTACGGTTTCTCAATCCCTTTGCGGATAGATGAAGCTCTGCCCAATTTTTTTCAGCAATCAAATCTGATCGACGGTGGTCCATGGATAAACCCAGGCACAGGCAAAGATCCCACGCAAGCAGAAGACCGATAAACAATCTCTGCGTTTATTTGATAAAATTGTAAACTTTTTTTTGTTTTCATTGTGTAAAAGTCTTATAAAAAGACTGATTTTTGTATTCGTTGTAAACATCTAAAGTTTGTAATGAATCTCGCAATGAAATAAGCAACTTTC